CACGCCTTCCCTTCCCCCTTCTCTTCCACCACAACAGACTTACTAGCTGGACACAACTTTTCAACCCCCCGGGCTGCATATCAGAAATCAGACTGGTATCAGCCGATATACCTCCTTAAAAATTGGCTATCGGTATTGGTCCAAAAAATCTCTGTCGTTGTGCCCCTAAGTGTAAGTATTGGTATTTATTCAGGAAAAATACAGGCTGCTGCTGTAGGTGGGAACAAAAACCTGGGGCTGTTCTGTTCACCCCTGAACTGCAGGACCTAACATGCACTGCAGGCTGTGCATCCAGCTGAAGAAGGGCCTGGCAGTTAATCTCCAGCAGGGTGAGTATGGGCGCAGTGACAAGAGGGAGGCAGTTCATCTCCAGCAGGACTGGCTCCTTAGCTGATTCAGCCAGTGCTGCTGGTTGAACCAAACTGCCCAATCCCTCTTCTCAAGTAAAGGGCATGGGCAGACAGCAACACCTGTCCCATCAGCTGAGGGTCCACCTAGCCAGAGAAGAGGGGCAGGGCAGTTCAGTTCCTGCAGAATCTGTCCACTGTTCCTAGTACTTCCCTCTTTCAAGACACTCACCCCAATTTCCAACAGATAATTTTTGCAAAAAAGACACAAGTTGTATGCAAGTAAATACACCAAGATTCACTCATTAAATACAGTTTAACACTGTAGTCTGTAATGCTCAAGGTGTGAACCGATGTCAGATTCAGAGTGCTTTGAAAGGTGAACTGTAGATGCGCACAGTTTGAAGCACTCCAACATACTATATGTTTTTAAGTGCTTTGTTACTGCTGTTTTTGAACCCGAAAGCTTGCTTAATAAATATTCTCCAACTATTTGGGTTGGTCTAATAAAAGATATCAAATTCAACCAAGGAACCTTGTCTGCCTTGTTACTGCTGATGCTTATATGCTCAAAGAGTGCAACAGAAGATCCCTGGATCCTCCAGCCTCTGCTCTCCTGGATTGCCCTGCCCCTGGAGTCAGGAGACTGAAGACACGTTGCCCCTGACCCCCGTTTCCTTCCCCCCCCTCCACACACACACTGGTGCTGCTGCAAGATCTCCAGCCCCACCTCTGGAACTGGAGAGGAACATGGGGATTAGGGTCTGGGGAGTCAGAATCCTGGTTCTGGCAGACAGGGGTCTGTTTGACACATTTTGATTCTCTAGTCCTCAAGCCTACTTATCCTCCAATTCCATCAATACCAAGAAATCTTGTGAACCGTCTGGCCCAGTGATCATGATAGCCCCAGAATGGCTGAGGTAATTCTGGTTCTTTGACATATTCAATATGTTCTCTTCGCTTCTTACAGATAAATAAGATACTACAAAAATGAGGATACTTTTCCCACCAAGGCTTGATTTCTCTGAACCTCAGCAAAGTGTAGGTGTAGATACTGGTTGGTTGGAGAGGCACCAAGTGTCCTTAGCTTAATTTAATCAGCCAAGTGGAATACATTCATTATCAGGGCTCAACAATACTAGCTGTGTTGCTAGAGCACCCAGATATCTGACACACATGTATTTTCTGTCTTTATAGCAGTATGGACTATTTTTGAGCACAGGTGTCAACTTAACAGTTATCTCAGCTTTCCAAACTCCTCTTTAGGGTTAATATATAATTTTAATACCCATACTAACTAGATCTGTGAAAGCTTTTATATGGGTATATTTTCCTAGTTAAAGAGCTTCTCCAGCTTGGGATATCAGTGCCATCTTGAAGGATTTAATAGGTCCATATTACATGCTTTATGTTGTATTCCCTATTCCTTTCATCCATTCAAACAGTCTCTTAAAGAAGTTTAAAGAAGTAACATCTGTCTCGGTGATAGAAGATTCAGGATTGGTGATGGACTTGTATGACCTGTACTAATGTTTGATTGGAGACATGAGGACACTCAAGGCATTCAACTAGCCATAGAATATGCAGTGAAGAGCAGACTTTGCGTTTAAAAGATTTTGTATACAAGACTGATTTCAGCCCATAAATCCTGCCATACAGTTGAGTAACACAGAAATTGTTAACCATCACAAAACAGCCACATGTTTAAAGTCAAAGGAGTTCAGAATTTCCTTGCATTGCTTGCATATTTTAAGGCCACATTTTCCCTGGCAAAAGTACACTGAGGAATGTTTTCTAACATCAGAACAGTACCTTTGCACTAAAGAGAGGATGAACTATTAGTATTTGTGTGTTCAGTTTATAAATATTTATAAAAGCTTACAGCATTCCAGATTGAATTAGAAAACCATTTTTACTCTGCATATATAATTATATTAATGTTTCTTATCTGTAATACAGGAAACAAAAGTCTTCAAAATGTATATAGAGCTAAAAGATAGCATGGTTTAGAACATGGACATAGCTTGGCAAAACAAAGTGGTATAAAAATTTTCCATAAGTAGTTTCAACTCATTTATGAAAATAAATTTGTGCACGTGAAGAAACAGTTTGAAAAAAGATGAAGAACTGGAAGGAATTCCTATGTGATTTTAAAATGCAATTTTCCCAACATTTTGTGCTTCTAATCCCATAATTTTAATTTTACTGTAATGCATAACTGGTCTTTGCAATGATACAGGTATATTAGTATGTTGAAATCAGAGGCACTACTTAAATGCTTAAGATTTAAACATGTTTGAGTGCTTTTCTTTATTGATGCCAGAGTATTCAGCACCTTTTATAATTTAAATAATTTAATTGCTAGTCTTAATTCATATGTTTACTAAATTGTAATTTGAGAGGGTTCCGTTTATAGGTAATATAGAAAAATCCTTGTCACACAGTTCTCTATTTTACCTTTACAATTTAGGATGCAGCTTCTTATACCCAGCTGAGTGGTAGATTTAACACCATTTGTATGCTTTATCATTAGTGAAAAGAGAACTTGTGGCAAAGCTGTTTCTGTTACCTCTTGTTTTTAGTATATTTTGTTTTCAGAGTGTATCCACATTTATTTGTCCCCTTGGAACAAAAATTCCAAGAAATTCCAAAGGAAAACTAAGGATATACTGACAAACATTAGAACTATACAGTTTAAGACATCAGGGACAAAAGATGTATTATATACAGTATAATTGTATTATAACAAAGAAGTAACAACACACTTAAAAACATACACTATTTTAGAGTGCTTCAAACTGTGTGCACCTGCAGTTCACACTTTGTATATTGTATAGTTTGTGCTAGAAAGTTTATGCTAATTAGAACATAGTGAAACCAGCACCAGTGAAGAGGCCATCGAGAGGGGGAGTTCACCAGCCACTTTCTGACCCATCCTTTACTGCAAGCTTGCTGAATGGAAGTGGGTAAAAGAGGAAGAGGTAATTTTTCCAGGAAATAGTAGCGGAAGAGAAGAATTTAGCAGAAGACTCAACAGGACATCTG